GTTTTTTTGTTTTGTTTTTTTGGATTATGCATGCATTTAGGTTCAATTATTTTATTATTATTTTTTTTAGTGGCCAGAAATAGCTACAGCCATTCACACACATATACACATAATAAGTGAAACAATTACAGCGGCATATGTTTCTCCCAGTATATGAAATTAGTGTACTAGGTAAAGACAACATGCTTTCATTTAATAAATACGAGAGTAAGAACAAGAGCACAATTACCATTACCTGTTTGTGTGGAAATCCCTGTAGGAGTGCTCCTCTGCCTGTTTAGTGTCCTTTTAACTGGGATCTGGTTTGGTTGTGGCTTGGTTTTAACAAGTCCTTTTTGAATTGCAGGAACCTGTGTATGACATAAAAGCACTTGCATTAATTAGTTATTAAAAGTACAAAACAGAGCGGGGCTTGCTCTCTCAAAATCAGATTGCTTTGTTTTGGAAAAGCATGTTTATATTTTTGGGTTTCTTGTTTTTCTCTGGGATTCCACCTCATTTGTTACACTTGATTGACGATAAATTTGCCACCGTTATCTCTAAAGGAGAGTTTAGTCTGTGTATTGCAGAGTCTATATTTTAGGTCCTTCACTGCCCAGGAAATGTTTAAACATCTCTCTGGCTTTTAAAAGGTTGACAAAGAAATGCTTTCTACAACCAACATTATGGAGTATTGAAGACTGTGATCTCTTTATTCGAACTAGCTCATAACAGAGATAACTTTTTTAATGCTAATACGTTTAAAAACATCATATATGCAATTAACTTCACTTTGCTTTCCCTCTGCTTTTCTGCTATCTGTGTGTATTGGAGGCTATTTTTCCTAATACATTAATTTATTTTTTTTGCTCTTGCCTGTTTTTTTAAATTTCATTTCACTCCCCAAAAAAGCTGAGACCTTCAATTGGTGGTGTGTGATTAGTCTTCCTTAAATAAAATAAATTACTTAAATAACATCCTCCATCTTCACCAGTAAGAGTTTGGCATCTCTAACAACAATAAACAAACATTATAGGCTCTCTGCTTGGAAGGCTTCCCAGGTTTTTAAAATCATTCATTCCACACACACATGCAATCATGCAAACTTACATGCATTTACCACTAGTCTTACTGTACATGTAAGCCCAGATGCACACACACAGACACACACACAGACACACACACACACACAACCATACACTGTAATAATTCAGCAGTTTGTGGTGGAGAGATTCACTCTGTACCAAGTGAGAGATTAAGCTGCACTTAAAACATGGATCCAGTGTGGGCCCATCCAGTGTGACTGAGAATGCACTTGTCAAAAGTGTGATAAGTATGTAACATTTATGTGACAACATGATGAGCCAAGCCATTTTTAGCTATTAGGCAGGCTTTTAGAGTATTAGGCAGAATATAAAGCACACACACTTATTGCATCTCACTGCCCTCAGCAAGGAAAAGTTTACACAATGCAAATAAGCTGTTATTTAAAAAGAAATAACATTAATGACAATTTAATTCGTTAATTGATAGATTTTACTTCAACCTAATATGGTCTTAAAAACAGGAATCAATGTTTCATATGTACTTGAATATAAATGGTTCTCAGCTGAAATATTTAATGTATTTCTTTCCCTATGTGTTGCAGGTGGCAGGGATGAGCCTTCCAGCTACATATGTACCACATGTAAGCAGCCATTCCCCAGCGCCTGGTTCTTGCTGCAGCATGCCCAGAACACCCATGGTATTCGCATATATCTGGAGTCCAACCACTCCAGCACAGCCCTCACTCCACGTATAACTATGCCCCCACCCATGGGCAACGACTCCATCCCGCAGTCTCCCCTCACCAACTTTCTTGGCGACAACAACCCCTTCCATCTCCTGAGAATGACGGGCCCCCTGCTCCGGGAGCCTCCCCCAGGCTTCCTGGAGAACCGCCTCCCCAACACACCTCCATTTGTCAGCCCACCTCCCCGCCACCACTTGGACCCCCATCGGCTGGAACGCCTTAGTGCAGAGGAAATGGGTCTCATCTCCCAGCACCCCAGTGCCTTTGAGAGGGTGATGCGTCTAACGCCCATGGCCATGGAGTCCCAGTCCATGGACTTCTCTAGAAGGTTACGTGAGTTGGCAGGGAACACCAACAGCACCACACCACCACTGTCACCCAGCAGGGCCAACCCTATGCACCGACTACTAAACCCCAACCCTTTTCAGCCTGGGCCTAAATCACCCTTTCTAAGCACCCCTCCCTTACCACCGATGCCCCCAAACAGCACCACCCCTCCTCAGACACAGAACAAGATCAAGTCCTGTGAGTTTTGTGGTAAGACCTTCAAGTTCCAGAGCAACTTGGTGGTGCATCGGCGCAGCCATACTGGAGAAAAACCATACAAGTGCCAGCTGTGTGACCACGCCTGCTCTCAGGCAAGTAAGCTGAAGCGCCACATGAAGACCCACATGCACAAGGCTGGATCCCTGACGGGGCGCTCAGATGATGGACTGTCTACCACAAGCTCCCCAGAGCCAGGCACCAGTGATGTCACAGGTGAGGGCATGAAGAATCGTGACGGGGACTTCCAGGGTGAAGGCAATGAGGAAGAAGAAGAGGAGGAGGAAGAAGAAGAACTTGAGAATGAGAGTCGACCAGAGTCCAACTTCAGCATGGAGTCTGAGTTCTACCGGAACCGGGAGAATGGCTCTAAACCACCCTCAGAGGAGAAGTCATCATTTGCCCTTGAAAAGATGGTGGAAGGTGGGGGGCTCACCTCTATACAGCAGTACAATAATTTGATAGTTGACAATCGTAAAAGGATGCCCTTCTCCAAGAGGTGCTCAGATGGCCAGCGAGACACTGGGGATGAGGACTCAGTGGCTGGGGAGATGGACCACCACCAGCAGGAAGAGAGGACAACCATTAATGGCCGGAATTGTGGCTCCGGTGACTCTTTTTCAGGCCTGTTTCCCCGTAAGCCCACCCCCATCACTAGCCCCAGCCTGTCCAACTCCTCAAATAAGAGGATCAAGATTGAGAAAGACTTGGACATTCCCCCAGCACCCCACATACCCTCTGAGAACGTCTACTCCCAGTGGTTGGTGGGCTATGCTGCCTCACGCCACTTCATCAAAGACCCTTTTTTAGGCTTCACTGACTCAAGACAATCACCCTTCGCCACCTCCTCTGAGCACTCGTCCGAGAACGGCAGTCTCCGGTTCTCAACGCCTCCGGGTGACTTGCTGGATGGCGGCCTGTCAGGCCGTAGCGGCACTGCCAGTGGAGGCAGCACACCTCATCTGGGTGGGGGCCCGGGTCCTGGCCGACCCAGCTCCAAGGACAGCAGGAGGTGCGACACCTGCGAATTCTGCGGCAAGGTGTTCAAGAACTGCAGCAACCTGACGGTGCACCGGCGCAGCCACACAGGCGAGAGGCCTTACAAGTGTGAGCTGTGCAACTATGCCTGCGCCCAGAGCTCCAAGCTCACGCGCCACATGAAGACACATGGCCAGCTTGGTAAGGAGGTCTACCGCTGTGACATTTGCCAAATGCCCTTCAGTGTGTACAGCACTCTAGAGAAACATATGAAAAAGTGGCATGGAGAACATTTGATGACCAATGAGGTCAAAATTGAACAAGCAGAGAGAACCTGAACCAGGTTCTCTGTTTCCACACTCTGCGCCACACTTTGACTTAAAAAAATAACAAAATGGGGTAGCTAGATACTCTTTTTCTGAAAAATTAATTTTGGGTTAGTTTTTGTGTTTTTAAGAAACTGCCAACTGAGAAAAAAGTGAAAACAGATCTTAAAACCAATTGAAGCTGTCTAAACTGCCTCATTTGGGGTTCCTTTTTAAACAATCAGTCAGTTGAGTTATAACATATGTGGAGCCTTTAACTGTGCAATAATTTCTGTATTTATTGAATTTTGTATTTTGGCATGTGCAGGTACATTTTTATTTAGACGTTTTTTAAAATTAGTTTTACTTTGATTTTGCATTGCGTTTAAGAAACCCACAATATCCTGAGAGTTTTTTACAGAGACAAAAGCAAATTTTAAGTAATCTTTTTTGGCCGCTGCTTGTAGGAAATTGTATATTAAGCTAAATGTGTGATTTCTTGAAGAGAAGCTGAATTCAATCTTCAATTTGAAAGTGGCGTTAACTGAGAATGCTAGAATTAGTCTATTTTGTGTGATGACGATACGCGGACAACAATCCTTTGGCATTGTAGCATGAACTGACTCTAAAACATGTCAATATAATTGGATATGTAGCACTGAGTGTCATATTTGACAGTAAATCTAAAATCAAAGAAGATCACAAGGTTTATAAACCCTGTCTCCTCCTGAGAACACCATTACCAGCCAGAAGAAACAGATTCTAGATAAGGCAGCTGCTGACTGGTACATAGTACCAAGCCCCGACAACGCTACGACAACCCTCCCTCATTTCCTTTGCTTTCCACACACCCGCTTACTAAAATCTTACCTACATTAATACACCCATGTTTTCTATTTTGCATGAAGCCATATGATCTAGGCTATATTATTTATTAGGAGTAAACTGAGCATGAAGCCATGCAAGATAAGCATGCATAGAGATAGAAAGGAGAACGAGACAAGAGAGTGAGCACAGGGACATCTCAGGGTGAGCTATACTACTTTCCTTTATTGGCCCAAATCATTCCTATGTTTCCAGAAGCTTCCATTCACCCCCCCAGGCTAATGTCAAGCGTAATCCTCATTTCAAAGTGATTTTAATAATTTATATTTTAAACCACTGCTTCTAATTCTAACATTTAAGAGAGATGGTTAACTATGTGCATACATGGCAGATGCCACAACTTTAACTGGATTTCTGCAGAAATTCTAAGATTTTATGCTCAAAATCTATAAAAATCCACATCCCTATGCATTTTTTGTGCTAAAATATCTAACAATTTGTTAAAAAGTGGTACAGTAAAATTTGACTTGTATTATTATAGTATAATAGTTATCATCTGATTGATGAAGTCACCTCTCCAGGAATAGGAATCCTGCATTCCAAGTTTCACTGTTAGTTGTGTAGAAGAGGAAAAATATACCAGTGTGTGCTGAAATACTAAGACTAATAGTAAGACAAGCAGTATCAGTTTGCTACATGCCCCTTTGTTTAAAAAAAAAATCATAACCCAAGGTTTTCTTTTGGCACCATCCACCTCATAGTGGCACTTTTTAATTTTTAAATCAGATCTGAATTGAATGCTATCAATGTTCAAATTCAGAGCTCTTAATAACAGACCCGCACTTTATGATTTTTCCGTCCGACACACACACACAGAGCTGGACAGAGAAGGTACTAAGGGGTCTAGAGCTTGGGATCTCCTGATGCTGATGTGCCAAGGCTTTCCCAATGCTGGCACTATAAATTTGAAAAGAAAAAAAAACAAAAACAAAAAAAACAAACATTTTAGTTGGGACAGTTTTTGTACTGCCATTCAATTTGACATGAGTGTGCCTTGAATAATGATCTTCCTATTTATTGTCTCAGACAAATGCAACACTTTTTATGATGCATCAAATTGAACAAGAAAACAAAAGGTAAAATTATGTTAACTTTAACGTGTAATTTGACCTTTAAACAGAATTATTTAAATTAATAGAAATGAAACAATGCTGAGTTTAGGTTTAGGAGTACCCAGCACAATAACAATGTGTCTGTGTGTGTATATATGTATGCATATGTACATATAAAGGCACAAACCTATATATAAATATATATCAAATTCCTCACTCATAAGGACAAGAGTCTGTCCCTCAACAGAAAATTCCAGGAGTGGACAAAAGCCACACAAAATGTAAAGGAAGACTCAACAAAAATCAGGAAATGCAGAAACTTAAAAAAAGAATTTAGTGCACTCTGTCTTAAAATAAGTTTACAGTATTGAAACAAGTACAAGGGTAAAATAATATTTGTGTGTATGTGTGTTTTAAACAAATGAGTATTTTTTTCCCCAGGTTTGCTTCTAAAGTTTCTCTGAATGCCGTAGTGGCGATGTGTATATTGTTTCTTTTCTTTTTCTTTTTCTTTTTTTTTTTGGTGACGGGGTTTTAGTATATATATATATAAATATATATGAATATATATTACTTTTCTCTTGTTTACTGTAAAAGTATACCAGTATTTGTAATATTGGAGAATGCCTGGGCATTTTACAAAAATAGAAAAACTTTGTTTTTTATTTTTTATTTTGCAGTCCAATTTAAATTGTGGGTCTGTTAAACTGTTTCTGTCACTGTAACTGTAAAAGTCTTAAGTTTTAGTAACTTTTATTCTGCCTTGGGTGTAATGAAATAAAAAATAAACAAATTAAAAAATGACTGAGCTGTAACAAACTTGGATTTGGTGGTGGGGTGGCTGTTGGGGTGGGGGTGGGTGCTCCTTTAGCAGATGTAGGTTTTCTCCCATAGAAACAACAGAACGCTGGTTCTGCTTTTCAGGAAAAACACACTGAGAATCCTGACTTGTATCTATTTTTCTTCTTTTGGAATGGATTATTCTTCATGGATGGTTTGAAATACATGTGTAGGCACTTGCTGTCTTTCCTAAAGAGCTTGTCTTTTTTTAACTTGTAGGCTATGTACATCCTTATGTGAATAGGGTACTTGGAGTACCTCAGGACGTCTTGCTCTCATATCGGGTGCAGGGGGAGGGTGACTACATTCCAATGACAAGACACAACTCACAGGCTGTCATGATGTATTTTTCCTCTCATGGGGCAGGACGAATAACCTGATGAATTTGTACTGTTGTAATAAATCACATTGTACAGAAGGGGATCAAGAGGTTCTTCAACGATCAAGTTTAGTGACAAATCACAAGTCGATGTTTTGTTTCATTGCTCCATTGGTTGTGTATACTTTTCTATGACTCATTTTGTTAGATTTTTTTTTCTTATTTGTTTGGGATTTCTAACTGGCACTGGCAGTGACTTCCTGTGTCTAGGGTAGCGTTGGGTGGGGTAGCGTTGGGTGGGGTGGCGTGGGGGGGTTATTCTGTTTGACCTTTGTGACCTCCATGTCAGTTTTCAGGCACACGCCTCCCCCATTGATATTTCTCGGCATGAGAACAGAGCACAAATACAAGCTGTTACAATTCTTCATCCTCTGCCTGCTTGTCTCATTTTATTCTTTGAGCAGAAAAGGACCATGGAAACACACTGATAATGCAAAAATATCATTCACACACTCTTAAATCTTGTGTAAGGTTTAGTTTTGAAAACACAGGCTGCATATTAACTGCAAACACATTTACTGCTGATGACACTGACAAAAAAAACCTATCATCATATGAACACCCGCCAATCAAAGAAATGCTGCGATAACAAAGAAGAAAACAACCTGCAGCAGTACTATATTCCATCCCTTTAATGCTTTTTAAAACTAAAAGAGAATCATTGGTGCTCAGATAAAACCTTGAAAGCCACTGATTTCCCATCAGTAGCACCTCTTTAAAAGAAACTAATCCAGTAAAGTTGCATTTCATCATTTTCTGATGACAACAGACTTTTATTGTCAGCCACTTCCTGACACTTTTTTTTAAACGTTTTTATTGGCTCTCCCACCACGTCCTTCCAATCAAAATCAGATCAATCCTTTATTCAGTGACAGCTTGCATTAGATTTACAATAACAATAACAATAAACAACAAAAAAGCAGCTTTGGGATGACGTTGAGAGAATGTAATTTTGATATGTAATAATGTTTGATGCAGAGGGGAGGGGCTGGGGGCGGGCTTTTTTTGGAGTAGGGATGTAATGCTGTTTGTGATGTCACTTTATTTAAATACATGAACTGACTCTTATAGGTTGTTCTCTATGATGTCACTGAGGTGTGGCCGGTGGACACCATTGGCTGGTTACAGTAAACATGACATTCAGACTCCTGTTGTCTACTTCTCCTTTTTTTTAACCCATTAATGTGAAATTTTATAATTTTCTGCACTTTCTGCATTTAGGCATTTAGGAGAATCTATTGTCAGAATTGGAATATAATATCTAAATGTATGTTTTCATTAGTTTATCATCACCTGAAAATAAGAATTGTTGTGTTTTTGTAACCTTAGAATGAATGATGAATGCTTTTATCTACAGACATCACAACTCACCTTTCATCTAGTCTGCCATGTTGAACCACCATGTTACAGTTGCCCAGAACGGACAAACCAGACACTGGTCTAGATAGGGTCGTTGAAGTTTTTTGCGGCCACCATAGTTTCTCCCTCGGATTTGGAAAGGGAGTGTGATGTGAGAGAGTTGCAATCTGCAACTACACTACTAACTGTCACTACATCCTACACACTGGACCTTTACAGTTCTGGCTGAGCTAAGCATAAATCCATAAAAAAATGTCTAGTATGACCATAGCGCCTTTTTTTATCATACTTTTTCAGTTGTTGTTCCAGGAAAACATCTAGAACAATAGGTTAGTTTTATAATGAATTAGTTAATTTCAGATTTTGATACACACATATTCTGGATTGTTACAATATAGAATAAAAGAGAATGACAATCTGTTGCATTTTCTTAAAATGACTGTGCAGACCTTAGAAACATTTTATAATGTACTCTTATTAGCTAAAATGAGTAACTCTTATTGATTATCGACTAAATATAATAATATTATACAGAAATGGCTGTATCTCAAAAAGAGTTATATTAAATGTTTGGTACCATGAGATTCAAAACAACTTCAATTTCAATAATATGTAATCTAGTGTAAATCAGATATTTGTCAAATGAATGTTAAAATTGTTTTTGTTCAGTTTGCACTTTAAAAGAAAATCTTATTCGCCTACCAATCAAGGCATGATAAATATGTGAAAGCATCTGGGTAGACATTTTTTCACAGCAGACTTTGTGTTTCCATCTCTTTTTACATACTAAATCTAGTCGTTTGTCATTAATGGGTTAAAATGGGTTAAAAGTGCACCACCAGTTATTGTGCACTACACATGGAAAGCACATAAATTAATTGAAATAAACAGTTCACAGCAAAACAGTCAATTAGATACTTCAGATAGTTTTGACCTCTCATTCAACACATCACAATTTACTGTCATCCTGTGTAGGAAAGTGCAGTTCTGCATTGTGTAATGATTAACAGGATACTTATATTTAATATATATGTGTATAAAGTAAGTATAAGTATAAAGCATTATACACAGTACACCACAGCACATTTCAACTTTGTAGTTACTAACGATACTTTTATGCATATACCGGAAGTATATTTGAATTCCTTTTGAGTTTTAATAATTAAACCTAAAACCTTCAGTGAAAACATCTCTATACTCCAGTTCATTTATTACTTTGTTTTTACCAGTTTAAACCATATACATTTACACTGCAGTGCAGTCAGCATATGTTTATTCATATGCTTTTCGTGTCGTCATTTACAGAATATGTTTTATACATATAATGTATGTATATCTTAATTTCATTTGAGCCTCTATAATTAAATATGTTAAATCATGTAGAGTAGCTTGGACAGACCAAAATGTACTATTATTCCTTTACTGGCTGTATTGATATCGCTAACAGGATACTTTCATATAATGTCGGTATATTCTATTTTCTTTTGGACATCTACAATTATACCTGAAAAACTTTATTTATGACAGAGTTAAACCTCATTGACTGTTATCTTGTTAATAGCCACACTTTATTGTAATACAGTCTGGAAGTACATTTTAATTCCTTTCAGGGGTCAATAATTATATCTGAAACCCTATTTTTCAGTGACCACAATGAATAAGGTTAAGATCATGAAGTTACATTCATAAGACAGTGAATGAGTCTTTGGTCAGCTGACGTCTGGCTTTTCCATTAAAAGCAACACAAAACAATAACAGATCATTATGGTCTGCATGTCTGTGACTTTAAATGACAACACTGACAATGAAAATTCTACATTGATAGTCTCTATCATAATGAATATTTACATCATTGTATTTCACTGTCTTCTTAAAACACATGAAGGCAAATCAACACCCTAAAAATGGTCACTAACTCTATTGTCACCTGCTTCAACATTTCAGATTTTTGTCTCTTATTATAAGTCCATCTCTCCATTTCCACAGCGGAGGAGAAAGAAAAAATCCTGACCCACAATTAGATAGAGGGAGGTAGGAGCGCAGAGTCGGACGGACTGGGGTGAGTTGTAATTTGGCAAGAGCTTCAAGGCAAATGGGTAATTAAGGCTTTTCCCTGGCCGGCCTGCACTTTGAAATCCCCTATGGGGGGGATTATCCCAGCCAACAGAAAGAAAGTGAGAGCGAAGTAATGAGACCCAATGCGGGTCGGTGGGTGGGGACCTCGCTGAAAGAAGAGATTACAAATTACAAGTAATTCATTTTAAAATAACTACAATGATGAATCATTGACAGTTTTGTATTGCAGGTAAAACCCAAAACCAATCTCTTGAAATACAGCAAAAGCAGTGACATTAATATTAGTCAATTAACTATTTAGATAATCTATGAATCACTAAAGCCATTTTCTCTTCCCAAACGTTTCCTGATTTTGAGTTTTGGTTCCGAATGTGAATGTTTGTTGGCTTTCTTAGTCCTCCACAAGGTAAACTGAATGTCTTTGGGTTGACTGTTGGTCAGACTGAAGATGAGATGAAGATGACAACTGAGAATATTTTTCACTTTTTTCTGATACAATAATGATTAAGCAAGGTAATAATCAGTCGATTAATGAATAGTAAAAATATCCGTTTGGATACCAGTAATGTGCAGTATTATGTTATCATAAAGATGACCATTCATAATGACAGAAAAATGTTTTCATTTTAATTAAGGATGCATCTTTGTTCATTAGATCATAGAGTCAATCCACAGTGCAGCAGCAGAACTACAGTCTGCACTGTGACAGGACAAGGATGTCCTCCTCTCTGCCACACTTCCTCATTATTAGCCTTGCAACCTGCTTTTATTTCCACTACCTTAAAAGTGTGTGTGTATGTGTGTGGGTTGGATTAAGTCAGACAGACACCTCTGGTTATTCAGAGGTATGGAATTATTTCAAGACCCTGACTGGCTGTCAACGCTCGCTGCGCCTCCTCCCCTCCTCATTAAAAAAGAGGCAACTTCAAATGACTTAAGCCGTTGGTCGTCAGCGGCAAAGCCACACTGTTGACAGGTACAGTAGGGTCTTAAGCCTTCAAGATCAACGCCGCTATTCTCCCTGACAAAATCCTCCCGCGGGCCTCCTCCCTGACTGGATGGCAGAGGAATGAAGGAGGGAGGGGGAGGACAAAGAGAGAAGGGGTCAAACGAGGAGGTGTCACAGTGTCAGGAGGTAAAGCTGGGAGGA